CTTTAATTTCCATATCAGGCAGCAAACGAAGGTAGGTCAGTCTAACCATCCATTGGAAAAGGGGTAATGTCACAGCGGGTTTGAGGGGGTGCGCCCATTCCCAGTCCCTAGGGTCCAACAGAAGGTCCATTTTGCCTGGATGGATACACCTGGGCCTGCAGGTGCTGCACTGGGCGAAGCTTTGTCGAACCGCCAACGGTGCACTTTTTTCTTTTTTGGCTGCCACCGCCAGCCATTGTGGTCCAGTACCCCCAGCCTCAAAAGATTTAGAGTTGCCAACTTGTGATTTTTTGCAAGGCTGGCGCCATGTAGTTGCGGTCTAAGACCACTTCGGACACCCAGTGCCCAAGGCTTAGTACATACAAATAGAGTTCATCGCAGGGGCCAAGTTGGCCTCCATTCCCCTGTAACAAGCGGCGGAGTGGCCAAACCCTGTTTTTTTTTGTTTGGGGGGGGGGGAAGGCATGCACTTTATTATTGAATAAAAGATGGAGTTCAGAAAACCTCAGAACATCCTAGAGAAAAACTTATTGGGGTTTGTCACAGGCGAGGTGCTCAGCCTAAGGTTGAAGGTTGAGGTTGATCGACCCCTATTTCGGCTTGTGCAAGAAACCGGGTCCAACATCCCATATATCCTTGCTACAAAGACGTCACCACAACCATAAAAATTATGATCTAAAATAATAACAAGAGAACTCCAAGTATCAAAATCACCTAAGACTAAGGCCAAGAAAAGACACAAAGGCCTTTTACTATATACTTTAGGCCTTAGTGCCTTTTCTTTTTGCTTATGGTGGATTGTTGGACTTAATGTCTTTTCTTTTATACTTTAGACGTAGGATAGTATAGTGGGATGAATATTATTTGTAGTTGATTCCATAACAGGGGAGTGGGGTGGAGGCCTGAGGACACTCCATTTGGTTCGTCTTTCAAACTGCTTTGAGCAGTGAGCCAGGAAGGAAAGTGTTAAAAACCAAAAAAAACTAGGGACACAAGGTTTCAATAGAAGGGGAACAACACTATCGGAATAAACCAGAGCTATTACATAATAATGTCAAGGAGAGCTACAACGATCCCCTTGACCTTGTACCTTGAGGAGCTATGAAGCAATAATTGAAGCCCACTTCTAGACTTCAAGAATGCAAATTGTGAGTCCCACCCCCAAATTTTTGCAAAACAACTCACTTGTTTGACCATGTACCCTTTGGCAGTTTTAGGTCTCATGATCGTATACATGACCTGTATTTTCACTCCGGAAAGAACTTTGCGGTAAGACATATGTCCCCCACAGAAGACTTGCTCATTACGATTTCCCCAAAGAATCCCAAATGCAATGGCTCTTATGGCTTGGGTGACATTTTTATCCCTTTTTTTTTTAGGGTCCTACCCCTCTTGACGCGGAGACCCCCTCTCACCTTTCTTGTCGTCAATTTTTGCCACCGGACATTCTTCCCCCGCTTTACGTTATTGTCTGACACTCAGGACTACCACCCCTTTTACCATCTTAGTGAGGTGACATGACCGGTGTTGAGCGCATCGGTCCCGCAGGAGGACCCTCCCGGCCGTGTCACGCAAAATTTTGCAGGACTTTGTCGCTGAGAGCGTTTGCCGCTCCGGTCGAGTGCGTCATCCGTACCTCTCACGATCCTCTACGACATGATATGGCCACACGAGGTACACCTCCACCCACGGGAGTTGTCACCATCCCTTGGGTGGGCGTATCCCTGTCGAGGGTGGAGGGTTTTCGTATGCAATCGCAGAGATGACCCGACAGAGGGCGTTTCTCATTCGGTGTAGTAGGGGGTACGAGTGGTTAACGCCCGAATCGGACCCGTGAGTGAATCGTCGCCCGAGGCGTTGATTTCTCGAACGCGATCTTACGCCGATCGACTAGGACGGTCATTCTAACCACGCAATACACTTTATAACATAAACTCATTTCTACGTGCAATATCGTGCATAGTCCATTTTTTCACTCGACCCGTAACTGTTATTGTGCCTGAACGCAAAGATGCCATGCGCAAGACTTCATATAAATGATCATCACTTCGTGGGTCTCTATCATAATGATTAGTTATGCTCGAGTACGTGAGCAGTCGAGATGATGGCGTACTATATCATGCCCATAAACATGCGATCCCCTTTAAATCGTGGGATTGCTTTCCATGCTCAGGTGTCGGGTGACGCACGTGCTAAGGGATCAATCCGTTAGCGAACGCAAAAGCGGATCAAGCACCCTGTCATCTTCTACACCCTGCAGTGCCCCTAAATGGGGTAGGGTAGGATGGCATTGAGGGCATGAGAGAACCTGGAGTGGTGGTGAGTTGTTTGGCGCACCACCAACAACATGCTAACCTTTCTACCCGGAACCTTATCGTTCCACAAAAATAATTTTTAAACAATAAAAATAAAATTATCATACGTGCGCAATCAATTAAATGTTAATAGGTCTGGGCCTATGCAAAAACATGTGTGCGTGCCGGCTACAACAGTCGTATGCAAGGAATTGGTCAAGCCGCACGTCCTCCCTTTGCGAATGTTCCCACCCATAACTTAATTCACGCGAGACTTCAAGTGTAGTCCATGGCAAAAATTGTTTAAAAGGGACGCAATGCTGAGAGAAATCCTAATATTCGATTACACAAACTCTCACGACCAACTGTCATGGCGACGCTTCACACATTACCCACGACCGCTCGACCCTCAGCAAGCTTCAGCGTTGCGCACGACACTCAAGTGTTAGAGTTGGGATATCGTAAAGGAAATCTCCTTCACGATATTGAGCGGCTAAAGGATGAGTCGTTCAACCCTCGAGGCGCTTCTGACCTGTAGGCAGAGTGTTATAAGGGGCAACACGCAAATGCTTAATATATAGGGGAAACCCTTTTGTGCTGAGCTGGAACCTTAAATGTTATAGAAAAGGACCTCGAATTCCAGGTTAAGGACCTACGTCCGACCAACTAATTCAAATAGCAAAGATTAACATACACATTTTTCATGGGTGTTGCGAAGATTATGCGCACGCACATTTACTTAACCATCATGACCACTCAAAACAAAGGTGGTTCAATAAGTCAAACAGAAAGGTTGTGTGAGATCAGACGATCGAACAAATCGAAGAAGTCCTCCAGTTACTCAAAACAGGTTAGCCGAAGTAAGACAGAAGGCAACGTTGTCCAACGCTAATGTACAGGTTGCTTGCCGCAGTGGACTAGGCGAGTATCACGGATAGGAGGACTTTGGTCCACTGGGCCAAGGTAGGGGAGCAGAGACAGTTATCAAGTAGTACATAAATTTCGGGGGCCCCAAGTGATTTGAAAAGAAGATTGGGAAAGAACAATAGCTTAGTCACACATAAGGTATAGAAGAGAGGAATCCAATTGATGTGGCTCAGTGGTTAGAGCACTAGTTGGAAATGCGCATTGTGGTATAAGGTTGCGGGTTCAAATCCGCAACCTTGCACATGGACACCGGCAGGGCGTTAGAATGACGCACGGCTGGACAACCCCCCCCTTGGGATGACGCAAGTTAGCTATTACAGACACTGCCTGCGCACCACCCAAGGGTTGTTCATGGTGTTGTATGTTGGTTCTGGGTTTCACATGGGTTGCTTGGGGGTGTCGGTCTTGGGTGTTCTATTGATCTCCCCAGTCAGGCAAATCACACTTTTGGGCCATTTCCACTGGTCGTTCACATCATGATGGTACAGTCATTTGATTATATGTTACAAGGTCATGGGTGCGAGCTTGGTTCGAACCTTGGGGGGGTCCCTGTCCAGCTTACCCCGTTCTCTCTCTTCGATATACAAAATCTACATAGCCTTCGGACATAACATAGAATTGTATATCGCCTATGGGCTATATATACACACATATCCTTAGCCTTCGGACATAACATAGAACTAGATATCGCCTATGGGCTGCATACACGCCTTCGGACATAACATTGAACTACACATCGCCTACGGGCTATATACACAAAAAGATTCCACGCACGATACACACATAGCCTTCAGACATAACATAGAACTATATATCGCCTACGGGCTGCATACACATATATATAGCCTTCGGACATAACATAGAACTACACATCGCCTATGGGCTACATACACAAGGCTGGGGGGGTCTAGTCATTGGATAGGGTCTAGTATCCGCAGTAGGTTCAGGTTGGTTGGATAGGGTGCCATTGGGTGCAGTTCCGACTGACATCCGGATAGAAAGGTCTGGTGGTCATATATTGGGACCTGTGGTAGATTGTCTGGGCCTGGCGTCCGAAGTTCCCGTTCGACAAGGTTGGTCCGATTCAGCTTCCACCAGGGCTGGGCAGCTTATCAGCCCTGGTGCCTATCACTGCTGTTCGGACCAAGTTGCCTACCCAATGGTAGGGCAATGGTCCTCAGTGCTGGTCACACTGAGGTAGGATAGTGGGATAGGGGGTGCGCTAGGAGTATTGACGTGAGGATGGGATGGGAGGTGGTCTCATATTCCTGGACACCCGTGGCTCACAGCTCCAAGTGATCACTGTGCACTCAGTGACTGGCCTCTACAACACCTTGGACCAGACTGAAGGCGAAACCGGAAAAGAGAGGTAAATACAGACAGGGCTCGTATATTTTAAGTGTTAGTTGGCTCAGACAGGCACTGGAAACTCAAAAGCGAAACCGGCTGACGCTGCCGGCGTCGACTGAATTGTTGATTTGAAATGGAAGAATTGTTTGTGTAAAAACAAATTAAAAAAAATCCCGCGCGTGGTCCACAGGCTTGGTCCAGACTGAAGGCGGACGTCTGCGCCTTCACGGTTCTGCGGCCTATCCACGCACCGCACCTTGGCGCAACCGGCGCGGCCCAGGGACGCAAACCTACCGTTGCGCTTCTCCCGTCACCCGCTGTGCTGCGCAGACCGCCAACCAGACCGCCAGCCGGACCGCCAGGCGACCGCTCACCAGCCGTGACGGATTCAGTGCCGGCTACCCGCTGTGCTGCGCAGACCGCCAGCCGGCGTCCCTTCTCTGCTCTCCCGAGTTCTTCACGTTCGTCTCGCTATAGCACGTGGCTACCTAGCCATCGTAGAGGTATGCAAGCTTTCCCTTCCCCGCCCCTTGTCCTCCTCTGTCACGTTTTCTTCCTCCTGGCTGGACCTTCGTTTTCGTTCTCGATGTTTTACCGTCGATTTCAACTCCTCCTTCTCCCATATCCTCTTCTTCTCGTTTCTCCATTGTTAGACTTTCCTCCCTTGTCTCCTTGTCAGTGATCTTGGTCTATGGGATATCGGGCTGATGATGAAGAAGAGACAAGGGAGGCAATGATAATTCGGGCGCATTATGAAAGACGGTGGCGGCGCAGAAGTGCAGGGCAAGTAGATTTTGGATTGCAGTGACAGGAGGTGAGGAGATGTGACGATACCATGACAGAAGGATCCAAAGACACAGAAAGGAGGAGGAGGAGGGGGCAATCAGCCCATCAGTATTAAAAGATACGTAGGAGGGGGAGGAGTAGGAGTAGGAGAAGAGGTAGGTACTTACTGTTCTTCAACTCCAGCATTGCAACTGACAAGCAGGTAATCAGTCCGCCAGGATCAGAAGACACGTAGTAGCGAGAGCAGGAGGGGAGGAGGAGGAGAAGGAGAGGTAGGTAATCAGCTGTTCATCAGCTTTGCTGATTGTTTCTTTCCTATTGCAGGGCAATCAGATGTAGATCGCAGCCACAAGAGATAAGGAGATGACGAACCACCACAGGAGGCTCAGAACGCAAGGAGGAGGAGGAGGAGGAGGAGGAGGAGGGAGAGGAGGTGGAGGAGGAGGGAGAGGCAGGAGAGGAGGAGGAGGAGGAGGAGAGAGGTGGGTAGTCAGCCCATCCCCAGTTCTACCGGCTTCTCTTTCTCTGTCATTTCTTCTTTCCGTGATCGGAAAGTGGCTAATCAGTCAGCCCATCCCTTTCCGTGATCGAAAAGTGGCTAATTAGTATGTTCTTGGGTGGCATTTTGGGGCTACGTTGTCCCCCAGGGAAAGGTGGGACATGTCGGCGACGGGATGCCATGGAAATCAAACATCAATCCACCAGGGAAGACCTGATCTATCCACCCCACCGAGCCCACTTTTTTTTGCCTTGCCTTTTTTTTGTTTTTTTTGTTTTATGCCACTCACGGCACTCATACCCGTTGATAGCCAAAAAACTTGAGCGCTGAGGTTAACGGCAGCGCTGACTACTTCCGGAACGCAACGGATGGCTGGCAAAGCCGCTGATGAGGCCGCTGATGGATTTGAACGGTTCGGGTGAAAGCCGCTGATGAGGAATGAGCGGGAAGACCAACACGGCGGCTGGCGGAGAGAGGATGCGAGTCGTTCTCTGAAGAGAGAAGAAATCGAGGGGAAGGGGGCGGGGGGAAAAGGGGGAGGGGGGGAAGGGGAAGGGGGGAAAGGGGAGACGGAAAAGGAGCAAGAGGTGGTCACAGGAGCAAAAGGCAAGAGGAGGAGGTAGAGGAGGTGGACGGACGAGGAGGAAGGGAATTTGTGTGTGGAAAATAACGAGGAGGCACAGCTCATACGTGAACCACCGCTGCATTATGATAGAGGAGGAGAGAGGGGGGAGGCGGAGGGGGAGGGGGAAGGGGGAGTGAGGGAAGCTCTTAAAGAGGCGGAGGGGCGTCTTAAGAAACAAGAAGAATGGTAGATCACAAGAAGAAGAAGTCAGGGGACGCAGAGGTCTCTGTTCCTGGTACCATAAATAGGTCTCTGTTCTAAGTTCGGGACGCAATTGCCGCCAGATACATCCACAGCACGGGGGAAATTCCCACAGCATGTAGTAGAACAGAAACCTAGAGGTACATTTTTTTGAAAGAGAAGGCGAATGAATCCAGCTTTAGGGCATACTCACTTGGACTCTTTTACTAAGTTCGGGACGCAATTGCCGCCAGATACATCCACTCCGGCCGTAATTGCGCTCAGATACATTCAGGAGAGTGATAGTGTGAGTGCACTCTTAGTGGGAAGACCAGTCAGCCGCTTTTTTTTTTGTGTATTGAGATTCATTCGCCTTCTCGTTCGAACGACTGGGGTCCTGCTCCCGCTATTATTATTTTTTTATTTGTTTTGAAAAACTGGATCCCGTCTTCCCCCTCCCCCCCCCCCCCCGCGCTCTTCTTTCCCCCCCCCGAAAGACTGGATCCCGCCAAAACTGAATCCCGCCAAAACTGGATGCCCGCTTCCCGCCGCATGTCGTCGGGGCTTGCTGCCTGATCAAGGGCGTTTTGCTCACACTTAGACTGCCTGAGTGAATTTGGCCATTATGCAGACTGGATACGTGCAGGATAGCCCGAAAACTGAGGCAGCCTTAGATTCGTCGTGATTCTTGTGGCATCTAATCTAATAATGAGAGTTATAGATCCTGTATAAAGATATTCCCCATGAGCACGTTCTGTTTTTTTTTTTTTTGCTGTATAAACATATTCCCCATGAGCACGTTCTATAATTAGGACGTAAGGTCTAGGAGTACATGTGCACGTTCTATTTTATTTATTTTTTGCTGTATTTTTTGATAGATAATAATCCATTTCGTGCCTCGGGGATAAATGTGTAAATGCTTTTTAGCTGTGTAAATGTTTTTTTTTTTTTTTTGCTGTATTTTTTGATAGGTAATAATCCATTTCGTGTCTGGGGGAATAATCCATTTTTTGATATGTTTGCTTTGACAGTTGTCATCCCTTGAATTAAAAAATGCAGGTGCTTTGATTGATTATTATATAACAAAAATGTGTGAAAAAATAAAATGCGTGAAATGCTGGTTGCTGACTCAGCAGGTATGGGTGGATGGATCTGCGATAAATCTGTCTGTTGCCCATTTTAATCCTTTTTTATTTTTATTTTTATTGCAGGTAAACTTTGTCCTTGTGATTGGGAAATCGGCGAGGTGACCGGATTAAACGTGGGGGAGATTTAAAAGGGAAGCGGCGTTGAAGATTCATCCCTGCACCAGTCAAAGACCAAGCGTTGGTTTGATCACATCATTATCCATTATGGATGACAATTTGTATGATGAGTTTGGTAATTACATAGGTCCGGAGTTGGAGTCTGAAGAAGAGGAGGACGAGCAAGAGAGAGAAGAAGAAGATGGGAGGCCAGTAGAGGATGACGATGCATGGATGGACGAGGCCGAGGCTGCAGCTCGAGATAAAATCGCGGGTATTCCTCTCCTCTCCCTATCCTACCCTCCCCTCCCCTACCCCTTTCCTACATACAGACGAGAGTCTGTCACACTCAGCTTTTCTTTGTGGGGTAGTACCCTACCCTACCCTACCCTACCCTACCCTACCCTACCCTACCTTACCCCACCCTCCTACCCTACCCTACCCTACCCTCCTACCCTACCCTACCCTACCCTACCCTATCCTCCTACCTTACCCTACCCTACCCTACCCTACCCTACCCTACCCTATGCTACCCTAAGCCTACCTTACCCTTCCCTACCTACCTTCCCCTACCCTACCCTACCCTACCCTATGCTACCCTAAGCCTACCTTACCCTAAGCCTACCTACCCTACCCTACCCTACGCTACCCTAACCCTACCCTACCCTGACTCTAGTCGACGTACCTGTCAGTGCTCGGAACTCTTGGCATTCTCTCTGTCCGCTACACGATCCGTTAAACGAGGCGTTAAACCCTGAACCCTATATTAGCCTCCACCCACTGAATTCACTCTCAACCCCAAACGGAGTTCAACCTGTAACAGCTCTCATTCCGTTAACACAATCCGACAATCCGTTAAACACTCTCAACCGTTAGCACTCTTAATTGTTAACACAATCCGTTAACAGCTCTAGCAAATCCCTTAAGCTGATTAATAAAACGCGAAATGTTAAGAAAAGACCGAAGCATATTTTCAAGCTTCAGTCATCGTTTGGGGAAAATAAAAAAAAGGAATTCAAACGGAAAACGTTCCGGCTATCGAGAGGAAAGGAAAAAAAGAAAACTTTTCTCCGGCTATGGAAAGGAAAGAGAAAGAAAAAACACCGTCCAAGGAACAATAGCATTTCGATCAAGTGAGAAAACCTAACAACTACAAATCCCTTTTCTCCGGCTATGGAAAGGATAAGAGATATCGAGCTTTGTCATTAATAATCATTTTAAATTTAAATACCATAAATACCTATACATGTTCTATACATGTCAGTCTAAATTAACATACACGGATCGATGGAGAGGGGAGGGATTCAAAAAGAATTCTGCCAGAAACACTTTCACCTCAACCTAAAACACACCTCAGCATGTTGAAAATGAAGCTTGTGAGAGCCCAAAAGAAAAAAGAAAACAAAAAAGAAAAAAAAAAAGAAAAAAAAAGCCATAAACCATGCATAACTATGAAAGTCGGTGAGCCTTCAGGAGCTTTAAAACCAATGAACCGTCCCAAACGACCGGCAGGAACCCTAAAACCTGCGAATGTCTTTAACACCCCCTGGAAGCTCTTAAACCCCTATAACCTTTGAAGCCCATCAACCCAGGGGCCTCCTGTGATTCCTCACGCGACTGCGAACTGATTTACCACTTCTCGATTCCTGCCTGGCGTCTTCGATTGACCAGGGGCCATGTCATCTTAATGATAGCTAAATCTTCTCTGCATCCTTTCATTCCATGTTGATCTTCTCCGTATCCTCTCATTCCATGTCAATCTTCTTCTCTGCATCGTTCCAATTCTGATCTTTCTGTGTATCGTTCCAATTTTAACCAATGTGCGCAGTAGCTGCTTGAAAGTCAGATGTTGGGCCAAGTGTTCCAGAATGAGAGTAAAAGGAAACCTGTGGGCCGTTGGATGGTTAATCCGCCGGACGAACTGAAAGAAGGGCTTGTTTTTAAAGAGCCTCCTGTCAAGCAGTTTTCCAGTTAACGGGGTTGGATGAAGGGGGGGGGGAGGAGGGGGAGGAGAGGGGTGTTAAGCCACCTGATGGTATATTACTAGTATTACCAGAGTGGTTGTGACAGACACTGGGGGCTTACACCACCACCCCCTTCGTTAACCACTGCCTTGGTTAACAGGAGGAGGACCGCCTTTTTCAATTTGGTCTGTTGGATTAATGGTCTGGCTACAGCTGTCCTTCCCCCCCGGCGGCAACCCCACCCTTTTCAACTTGGTCTGTTGGATTAATGATCTGGCTACAGCTGCCCCCCCCAACCCCGCCGGATGTTCTAGGAAGTAGTGGTCCGCCGGATTTTCTAGGAAGTAGTGGTGGATTAACATCACGGCTTCTTGGGGGGGGGGGGGGGGGGGGAGGAGAGGGGAGTGATTCCGGAAACAGTTGGACCTGTTCAACATATAAACAGAGACACTAATTGAAATGATCAGCAGTGAGGGCATACCCACACTGGGCGTTCTCTGGTCGTATCTTTGCTATAATGACGTCCAGATTCCTTATGAAAAGTCTTTGTGAATATGACCTGAGTGGTGCAGATCAGCCGTTTTCACGGCTTCTCGCATCTGGTTTGTGCCTTCTGTGTATATCGATCAAGGAAAAAAAGGCGCGGGGGGGTGTTGGAGGACAGCATGCTGGTCACCCCGCAGGGTTGTGGCTTTATAGCTGTGATTGCCTACGTGCTATTTTGTTGCTGTTCCACCGCATGGCGACTGGATTATAGCCATTTTATAGCCGTCACTACAGCCACTGCCATGTATATCATTGTTATATATGGTCATTGTTATAGCCATTGTAGACAGCTAAGCGCATGACTTTGTAAGGTCATATGTGGTCATTGTTATGGTCATTGTAGCCAGCTAACTGATAGAGACAGTTTTGTTCATTCTCCACTCTGTGACAAATGCACTATATAGAATAGCACACATCATAGTCATTATTATAGGCAACAATATCATTATTTTTTATCCATCAGTATAGCCACTACTATGTGTAGCCACTGTTATGGACATTATAGCCAGCTAGCCGATAGACAGTTGTGTCAATGCTCCACTGTGTGGCAACTGGACTATAGGCGTTATAGCTCATACTGTAGTCAGTTTTCCACAAATACGGAAGTGGATGGGAAAGGGAACTGCAGCTTATGTTGTAGCCAAAGGATCTGACTTGTTTCCTTATTTCTTGCTGGATTTTGCAGAGGATGTGGGGACCACAGCAGTGGTACTTGCGGAAGACAGGAAGTACTACCCAACTGCAATGGAGGTATGGAAGGGAGGAAGGACCATTCAGTGCATGTGTGTGTTTAGTGGAATTTCTTTTCTGTGTGTGTGTGTGTGTGTCTGCGTGTGTGTGTGTGTGTGTGTGTGTGTGTGTGTGTGTGTGTGTGTGTGTGTGTGTGTGTGTGTGT